TCCTAAAATGAAGATAGTAATGAAATACAATAAAAATAAATCCTAAAATGAACTGTAAAAGTAACCAATGTGCAGAAGGCACCAAAGTAAAACTGAAATTAAAACGTAAAAATATTACAAGTGCCAGAAGGGCTAAATAAAATATGCCAGAAGGGCTTAAAACAGTAAAACTTGCCAGAAGGGCTGAACAATTATTAAAATGCCAGAAGGGCTTAAAAACAGTAAAAAGAACTCATCAAAAAAATACGTAAAATCACAAAAAGGAGAGAGGTAAAAGAACATGAAGAAAAGTAAATGAAAAGATCGTAAAAACAGAAAAGTAAAAGCTGAAGTAAAAGTTCAGGTAAAGACGAGTAAAAGGGTAAAACGAATAAAAGAAACGTAAAAGGAACCAGTAAAGTAAGTAAAACAGAGTAAGTAAAAAGTAAAAGTAAAGGCACACATGGTTCAAGGTAAAAAAAAAAGAGTAAAACAGTAAAATAACACGTCCAGCATAAATACACCTAGGCAAGTAAAAGGGGCAGTACAACCTTGTTTCAGCATCCGAGGTGTAGAATCCAGACAGGTAAATCCAAGGGTCAAGTCAAACACAGTCAAAGTATCCACTTCGTTTATTTGGCAAAAACATGGGGGTTACATTGGTTCACGCGGACGGAGTGGTAGCGGTAAAAATGATTAAAACAATAAATAGGAAATATTAAAATAAAAGAAAATATACACAAGATAAAAGAAAATAAAAGCAATAAAACATCAAAGAAATAAATGGAAAATAATAATTATCATAAAAAATACGTAAAACCATCTGCTGCGATTCAGAAATAAAAATATAAAAAATCAGTGACTTGCTCTCAGGGTAAAAGAGAGATTAAAATGACCAGTAAGTAAAAGCAAAGCACAAAAAACTAAAACTGAACTTGAAGATAAAAGGAATAAAAAGTACGAGAGAAATCGCAGCAGATGAGGATGCCCCTTATCCGCACATCATGTGAATCCTTGTGGGATATAGGCGGATAGCAAACAAATTCAGTGGAAGTTTTATTCAAAATATATACAAAAAGGTGTAAATGAAAGTAAAAATACAAAAATAAGCCAGCATAAAACAGAAGTAAAATAAAAGTGTAGAAATCAGGCTGGCTGAGGGAAGTGGTCCGCTGTGCTCGACTCGCCCTGTGGATTACGGAGGATGCTGGGTAGGATAGGGGTAGGATGGGGGCAGGAGTGGATAGGGTTAAAGGTAGAAGGTAGGACAAACGGGAGAAAAGGAATGGGGAAGGGAGGAATGAGCGTAGAAGTAGAGGAAAGCGAAAAAGCGAAGGAACAGGAAGAGGGTGCGAATAAGAGGGGTACGAGGGGAAATGCGGCAGGATACAGGATAGGATAGGGATGGATGGAGGTAGGATAGGTTAGAGATAAAGATAAGAAGTAGAACAAGCAGAGGAAAAGAGTAAAAGAGGGAAAACTAGCACAGAAGTAGAGGGGAGTATAAAAAGCGAGGGGACAAGGAGGGCGAATAAGAGAGGGATATGAGGATAGAGGAAAAGGGGGGGGGGGAGGAGGATAGGTGATGGGTAAGGTCTGTGGGGGGGGGGAGAGGTTGAAAACCTCACAACCCTCCCATACCACGGGGTCGGAGAGGACATCGGAGACACACCTGGAAAGAGAAACAAGGAAGGCCTGAGCCCGATTACTTGCCTCAAAAGTTAAGGTGCATGTTCAGCTGGACGTGCATGACACGCATCACTGAACACGCAAAACACAAGTAAATAAAACAGTAAAAACAGTAAAATAAATAAGTAAACAGTAAAATAGTAAACCAAAACAAACACTGAAGAATCATCCAGCCACAAACAGGGGCTGAGAAAGGGGCCACAGTCCAGAACAGCTACACGTCAGACCAAGGGCAGCACTGGAGAACAGCTCAGGGGGTCACGTCATCATCAGGTCCACCAGTGAAGTCGGCTCGAACATCTGTCGGTCCATCAGCATCAACGTCCTCGACATCAGTGTCCTGGGCAGGGTCAGCTGGATCTGCATCGGCATCAACGGTCCTCGACGTCAGGGTCCTGGGAAGGGCCGACTGAATCCTCTGCATCCAAGTCAGGAACATCCGGGTCATCTGGTCCTGGGTCATCGTCATCCTCGTCCTCTGAGGCGTAACACAGCTCTTCAGATGTCTTGAAAGGCTTGAGGTGGTTGAGATGCGCCCTCAGCGTACATCTGTATGAACATCTCTCACTTCAAAAGCCAGAGGTCCAAGTTGGGCAACAACTCTGGCAGGTCCACGCCACTTTCCAGTTAAAGGTGGTAGAGATCCAGTGCGATGCCTATGCTCATAATACCAGACGAGTGAGCCCATCTCTGGCTGGAATCGTTCTCTCGTGCCTCTGTTGTAATAGTTACCATAGGTCTGCCTGGACTGGTTAGAAGCGGTGACAGCTGCTTGTCTAGATGCCTGGAGTCGTTCCTGCAGGTTGAGGTTTTCTGCAAATACTGCTTCATTTGTCAGGCCAACCGGAAAGTTGGCATGCCGGCCAGTCAAGAGGTACAAGGGCTGCTCGTGAGTCGTCCTGTGGATAGCAGAGTTAATCTGCAGTCTAATTTCAGGAATGAATTGGTGCCAGATCCTTGGTCTATCCTCCACCAAAGCAGTCAGAGCTGATTTCACAACACGATTGGTGCGCTCTATCATCCCATTGGCTTGGGGATGATAGCGGATGGTGTAGTGGTGACTAGCATGCATCATCAAGACGAGCTCCTTGAAGAGACCACTGGTAAACTGTACCCCATTATCCGTTTGGATGACTCTTGGTGGGCCGAACAAGGTAACCCAATGGTCGACAAAAGCACGATGGATGTTGATGGCAGTCGACTTCCTCAGGGGCACAATCTGCAGCCATCGTGAATGTTGGTCAATGATGGATAGAGCATACCGAACTGGATAGTGGGTCCAAAGTCCATCAGGTCCATGGAAACACGCTCTAGAGGATACTGGGCCAAGGGAGTCTCTCCCATAGGCACTCTTTGGGGGCTACCTCTTGACTGCTGACACACAGAACAGTTGTCCACATACTCCCTACAGTCCTTCAGCATGTTGGTCCAGTAGAACATTGACCTAGCATTGTCATAGGTCCGCTGAACACCAGGGTGAGAAGCAAGAGGTGGTAAATGGGATGCCTTCAGTGCAGAGTTCTTCAGTGATACAGGTACAACAAGCTGGTAACAAATTCGGTCCGGAAGATGTCTCAGCCTGTACAAAACACCTTCCTTGACCTCGAATTCATCCAAAGGAAGTGGCCACTTTTTCTTTGGAACTGTACCATCAAGTAGATAATGGCGAAGATCAGCAAGATGAGGATCATCCATCTGCTTCTGCGCAAGGACCTCAGGAGACAGCTCTGTGATGGCAAGTCCGGCAACTTGGTAGCTGGGTGCATCCTCCAGTATAGCAACATGTCTTGAAAGCAGGTCTGGAACATAGTTGGTGGGCCCCTCTTTGTATCGAATGTTGAAGTGGTAGAACGAGAGATCGTGAGCATAGCGTGTCATTCGTGGAGATTTGGTTTTCCGAGAAAAGACATGTACCAAAGGCCTGTGGTCGGTATAAATGGTGAAGTGCCGTCCATAGAGGTAAGAGTCGAAGATCCTGACTCCTTCAACCACACTGAGGGCTTCCAAGTCAATGGCAGGGTATCTAGACTCAGCACCTCGTAACTTGCGGCTGAAATAGGCGATGGCATGTGGCGTGCTGTCATCCGACCTTTGCATCAAGCAGGAACCAATAGCGATGGAAGAAGCATCTGTGTGTAGCTCAAACTCCCGGTTAAAATCTGGCTGGCGAAGAACTGGTGCGGTGGTAAGGCGGTCCTTTAGCTCCTGAAATGCCTTCTGTTGATCAGCTCCCCAAAACCATTTCTGATTCTTCTTAAGCAGCAAGTGCAGAGGTGAAGAAATGGTTGCATAACCAGGGATGCTTCCTGAAGAACCCAGTACACCCTAGGAAGCGGCGTACCTCTCGAACATTACGTGGTGCTGGAGTTTTAGCGATAGCAACCACCTTATCCTGGTTGGGAAGAACTCCTTCTGGGCTGATAGTGAATCCCAAGAAGTCTATCGTGGTAGCAGCAAAGTGGCATTTTGCCATGTTCAGCTTTAGACCAGCGGCTAAAAGAAGCTGTAACGTTTCTTCCAGGTCTTGTAGATGCTGGCGGAACCCACGGCTATAGATAACAATGTCATCTAGGTAGCACAGGGTGCTTACCTAGAACAGGAGAAAGGAGGACGTTCATAGTGCGTTGAAAGGTGGTTGGTGCGGTTGAGAGACCGAAGGGAAGGCGGCAGAAGTGGAACAGCCGGTAGCCATCAGAGAAGGCAGTCTTGGGCCTATCGGAGGGTTCCACCTCAACTGCCCAATAGGCTGCACGGGCATCCAGTGTGGTGAATGTGTCAGTGGGACCCAGTTCATCGATGAGAGCATCAATCCTCGGGAGTGGGTAGGTGTCTTTCTTGGTAACTGCATT